ACCTCTGCCTTTCAGAGCCTTGAAACTCCAGTTAGGCTTAGCTTAGGCTCCTCATTTACATATTTCTCTTAGGTATCTGAAATTAGGTGGGTTTATTGGGTTAGGGATGGTATTTCTGTCTCCTGCTGAGATGTTGAGTGCTGCTTTCCCGTGGGTTTGATATTAACTGGTTGGACTGACAGACCTGCTGTTTGCATGCCTGCTGTCTGTGGTGGTTTCCTTTAACTTCAGTGATAGTGATCCCAGTAAAGGGGTACTAAAAGTTATACAGCCATTTGGGCAAGTTAGTTTTGGAACATCGTTCATCTGAAAAAAATATAACTTCCGTGAGCTTTGAAACATTATGTTTGGCTGTCAGAATTGTATCTTTGGCTTTCCCTGTGGGAATTCATGTATTTATGTTCTGAATATTGGGGGGGAGGGGGGGGAATAATCATGATTTTCAGATGGCTTGTGGAAACTTTGAGGCTTGACAGTTCACTTTCTTCGGAGTTAGAGGAGACTCAGGTTTGAGGCAGAGACAGTTTGCTCAATTGCTGTCCATAAGCTGCCCTGGGCTTGTCTCGTGCCCACTGTAGAAAGTGGGCAATAACACAATCTGTGCTCCAGTTTGGCTGAAGATAGGAGATGTATCTATAAAAAGAAAAATCAAAGAGCCTTCTGGCAAACTTCTATTTTCTGTTTGCCGAGTGYCTCACTCCCTTCTCGGGCTTCCAGAGTGGACGGAGGAAGCTCCAAACACTGGACTGGAAAAACCCAAGGGGTAAGAGCAGAGTGTTAGGAGGAAATGAAGGGCAGGCTGAGCCCGGAGGAGCTGCGGGAATGGGAGGACTCCTTGGTTTATGGGGAGGGAGGTGGAAGGCCGGCAGCTGCGGGCGGCATCCTGACATGTGCGCCCAAGGGACGCGGAGGGCGCTTGTGCAAAGGGCCTCAGGTGTCGTATTTCTTATATGGCTTTCTGAACTTTGATTCTCCTGTTCAGTTTGTGTGTAAAGATACACCTACATTCAGAAATGTAGGGTCTCCTGTGTTGTGCAAAAGAATAATTCACTTCCTCGTCATCACCCTGAGAACCTGCAGGTGTGCTGGTGAGAGCAGAGGCTCCTTGAGGGAGGCAGAGAGGTTCCTGTTGTGCCAGGGCTTGTTCTTTTGTTTATTTGTTTGCTGCTTTTTAAAGAACTGTAACTTGKTTTTTTTCTGTATCATGATTGTTTTGTATTTTCTAAGTCTAATCCATCATTTACACTGCAGTGCACCTATTCGTCTTCATAGGAATTCACCTATTCTTCYAGTCCTTCCTGATTTATGTACAAGATGGCTAAAAATTAACTCGAAGCAGAAACTTCAATTCTAATACATACTCACTAGAGAGAAAAAATGAGGGTTTTGCTTTCGGTATTGCAGCATCCTTTCTGTATCTAGTCCAGAATAAGACTGGCCTTACSATGAGAGGAATTTTTATTTTATTTTATTTGGAAGCGTCCAGCAGAAAACATTCCTCAGATGATCAAAGCAGCCTGTTTCATTGCTAAATACTGCTGAATATTTCAGTCCTAATTATCCAGTAATAGTGATTAAGCTTGTCAGGATTGGAGTTTACCCTCYCTTGTAACACCTAGCCTGCATACAGAGAACTGGCTAAGTGGGTTGGTAGAGTTTGATATTTTTATGGTGCTGTAAACATGCAGAGTGTTATATGAGTAGCAATTCCATTCTTATGGTGTGCAGGAGGGTGCTAAATGCTGTGGCACTGATCCAGCAATGCACTTAAGGATGTGCTTTGCTTCAAAAGTCCTGTGAAATCCCATTGACTGGAGGAGATCTCCGAAGGGTGGGTGGCCTTCAGGCTGCCYGGCTGGGCACTGAAGGTATTCCCAGGAACTCCCAGCAGGAGCAGATTTCTAAAGGTTATTGCATAAAGTTTTGTAAAGAACTAGTGATTCATTGGTGGAATGGGGAGAAAAAATGGTATTTTCTTTAGGAGGTTTTTTGAGGAGTTATCCAGCGACCATCAGGAGAGTAGAGAAAACGTTTTGTGATCTCTCCTCTTTAAACGATGTCATTCAGTTGTGTGGGAGGAATCCTGGATGCGTAAGGAGTGCTCAGCACTTGCTGTCTGTCTGAAGTAACTGCTGGTTGTTCTTTGAGGTGGATTGATACGTGGCATGACATGAGTTAGATCGGTTTGCCAGCTCTCCTGTCCTGCTAATCTTTTACCCAGACCTCTGCAGACTTGTTTGTCAAGTGGCATTGGCATTTGCTTTTCATGGGTGTTGAGAGAATTTCTCAGTCGTTATTTTAATTGATAGAAATTTAGCAGGAGTTTCATTCTGAAGGCATGTTTATATGAAGAGATGCTAAGATCTGTTTAATCAAGCCTCCTAGAAATTCCTCRAACACCAAAGCAATAGACTGGAAGAAGAAACACCTGCCTGAACATCTTTATTCAGTTGGGATAGTATGTGTGTATGGGCATAGGAGTCTGTCCTGATGTCAGCCTGGAGAGCATAATACATGTCAGCATTTTCCTTTTTTTTTCCCCTGGAAAAGAAAATATGCAATTAATAAGATCCCAACTGATCCATGGGAATGAAAACCCGTAGTGGTAGACAGTGTGCTGCCCTCTGATGGAGCTCTTGGGTCTTGTTTTTGGTGGAAAAGGTTTTCGTGGGTCTTCAATTTACTGCCCTCTTCTGGCTTAATGTATTGGTGAGTTTTTAACAAATATACTAAAGATATTAGTATTCTGCGTATATTCAGGACTATTACACCATCTCATGCAGCTTTCAGTTTGCTTTGAACAAGGCCTTTTTATGTGTCGAGCTTTTTATCTCCATGTCACTGCCCCCATTTATGTTCATTTGCCTCAATACATTTGTCTCCACAGGTTGTGGGCCGATGTGCACGTAGAAGGGCTGCCTGCTAGGGCTGCATTTATGTAAAGCTTGGTGTAGTTTGTAGGRGTTTGAAATGATTCGCTTATCATCGTGCTCTCCGACCTCCTCTGTTTGTCTAGGAAGAGCAAAGGATTTTCAGAGGTGAATCAGGCACATCCACAGATGTATAATTTATCTAGATGACAGTATATTCTCATGTATGTACGTATACGTGAAGTGTTCTGTACTATCAACTTAAATTCTTTGTCATATATATGGGATATTTTCTATACTTCAGTTCTCCATCACTGCCTACTAATTGGATTTTTTACCTGATTATCTCTAAGCATCCTCTCCCCAATTCTGCCGTGCATTTGCAATATCCTTTGGGAATGCGTGCATTGCCCTATAAATGTGCTGTATTTTGAGGAATCTCCTCATGCCTGCCCTGCCACATTTTGGTTTTCTTGAGAGCTTCGTCATTTCAAAGATCCATGCTTTTACAGGGATGTTTCTGGGGATGGAGCAGGCAGGAATAAAGTGTCCAGGTCTAATCTGCAGTAATTCTAAGCTGGTGACTTCGAGAGCCCTGCTGGTTGTGTGATGAGTTAGGTGCAGGGTTCTGCAGTGAACACCACTGTGAGCACTGAGATGAAAAGAAAAGGTCAGTCGGTCTCTTCCGGATGGACTGGTGGGAATGACCTGGGTGAGATGGGTTGGAAATAAAGGAGTAGGAGATGGGCATCCCTGGAGACCCTTCTTTCCTGGCAAAAATATACCCCCTTTTGCTGTTTGTGACCCAGAGCTGCACATCCAGCTTCTGCAAGCTGTAAATTCCACAGATCTTAGTGACTGTTGGTAAACACAGAAAAAGTAGAATTCTTGTTTTCTGCCATCACAGCGCAGGTGACAGCGCTGGAGACCCTTCTTCTTCCCTCTGTAATGAAGAATGAAACGGGGCTGCTTGACAGAGCTCCTCCAGAGCTGTGTAGGGGCTTTACGTTACATACTGCAACATAAGTGGGAAGAAACCCAAAGCACCTGCCCTTGCAAACTCATGCACTTGGCTGAAGAGAGACTTCAGCGGCCAAGGCCTTACATAGTGATCTCTGTCCCTTGGGCTCTTTCCAGCCTCATTTGTTCTGCTCAATGCAACTTATCTAGCAACTCCTTCTGGAATTGGAGCTGTAGGTGAAAATTCAGCGAGTTTTTACTCGCTCTTCATTTCTTTCCCTCTTTTTCTCTTGCTCCGCAGTGGCCCTTGCACTTTACAGTTGTGCTTTGCAGATGCTGGAGAAGAAATACATGACTCTGTCATATTTGTGATGTATTTTATGTGTTTGGCTTAGTGGAGATGACTCAAGGCCTGTATTATTTAACTGCTGGGATTCAAGAAAGCCAAACTGGAAGCTGCTGACACSAGCACATAGTGGACAGCATCTGGTTTGGGTCTTAAACATTTCAGTCTCTCCAATGTGCTCTATATTCCTCTAAGGCAAGCAGCAGCCCTGCAGGGTGGTGGGCCCAGCTGAAGGTGCTCAAGGACCTTATTAGCACCTTATTGCCCTGCAGCCASGCTCTGGCTGAGGCTCTGGCTGCCCCTGGGGTTACAGGTGAGTGGGCTGAGGCTGCTGCAACTGCTGGTGCTGCAAATCTCATCTTGGAAACCAGAAACCTTCTGTAGGGACTCACTTGGTCAGAGGGGCTGAGGGGRAAAAAAACCAACTGTTCTCATCCCTTCTGTGATAGTCTTTTTTTTCCTTCTTCTTTTCAATTTAAAAATAGAATTATCCAGTGTGGTGTTTTAAATGTCAAATGTCGGATTTCATTTATCTAAGGCCTTTTTTGAGGAGTGGTTATAAAGACAGTGTGGGCAAACCCTGAGAAGTACTGCCTTACTTGGGCCCCTTTTATAAGCTGTTGGAAGTTAGAACAGTAAAAAAGGCAAATATTTGAAATGTTGAAGGGGAAGGTTCAGCAATAGCAGTTCTTAAAATGGAGAGGAATATTGGAAGCTATTTGAGGGGGTGGCAAACAAGGGCATTTCTGTCTGTATAGGTAACTTACAATGGAAAAAATGTATGTGTTGTTTGGCTACATCATTTCTGTTTTATTCTTTTACAGCTTCCTTATTGTGCTGATATGCCTTATATTCAGTGTGCTTTCTACAATTGAGCAGTATGCAGCTCTGGCTACAGGAACGTTATTTTGGATGGTATGTATGCAGACACTTAAATGATTGATGCATGTTAACGTGTAAATTCTGATTTCCTGAACTAGTATTATAGCAAGCAGTCTGTCCCTTGTGGTCTAATTCACAGGAGTCTTCTTTCTATTTCTTCCTAATGAGGCTGTAAAGCCAAAGAAGCTCAGAGAGCCAAGGTAGTAGGAAACCACACCAGAGAACACACTCTTACCCTATATGGTCCACGCTGAGGGCGCCTGCAGTTTGTCCAACGCACACAACTGTTCTAATTAAGCCTGAATCCCTCATATTGCTCAGGTTATTGTTCAGCCATGCTGAAGGCCAGACACCTAACCTTAGAAGACAAAGTAAGTGGAAGTGCTTTCCTTAATGGAACTCAGATCCAGGCTTCCTTCACAAGTGGAAAATGTGCGTGTTTTCACTGGCTTCAGAGATAAGTCAATTTGCTCTACCCGTCTTGAGCATGGAGAACACTTAAACTATCTTTTCTTCGTGGCTTATTAGTATCATTATGTACATATCAAGAAATATTCGGAGTGTTGCTGTCCTGCCAGTTAAGTTTTCATATTCAGAAACTTTAGTTTGGAAGTCTGAGAAGCAGAATTTTAAATCTGCAAAAATGCTTAATTTTTGAGCTCTCCACTGCTAATTGCGGGTTTACCTGTATTTATAGCTAAATGACCATTGTTTTACTAAGGAAAGCATTGTCTCACCGTATAAAGAAAATGGTAATTAGCAATTTAAGGGTTTGTTCAAAATAGTTTCTTCAGCAGTGTACCAGTAAATAATAATAGTAATATGAAGTCCATTTAAAACCCTCATCAATTACCAGTTTTATCTAGTAATCAAATATGTTAAGATTTTGTACGTAACTTGAACACTGTAAGAATAATAATATAACACATTCAATTTAGTGTCAACCACTCTRTGTTTCCATGCAGTGTGTTTGCATGCTTGCTATTTTTGTAAGATTAAGATAAGATAAAACTTATGGGGTAAATCGCAAGTAAGTGCGTTATTATAGTTAGTAGTCAGATAAGAGGGGGCATATATTTTTCTGCATCCATTAGCTCTATTATTTTGTGGTTATGGGATTCTTAAAAAAACAGGTTTAAGGAGTTCTGTTTTTCTTTTAATAATTTGACAATTTGGTGAATTGGAATTGCAATAGTATCTCTAAAAGCTCATTTTTACTTTGATAAGACAAGAAGAAAAATACATTTTTATTCATGAAATCATGCAGTGCAGGTGCTATATTATATATCTACACTGTATRTCAAAGCAGGTACTATATTATTTTTTTGCTAAGCAGGATGCAYTTGTGTTCTGTTCTAGGTATGGTTAATTTTTAACATTTTAATCCTGCTCTTAGTATTTCCCGGGAATTCAGTTCAGTTGTGTGTGTTGTGTATGTATTCAGTGCTGGCAAGTTCAAATTTCCTTTTCTTTAAGGAATATCTTTGTAAGGTCTTACACTGTGTAAAGGAAGGCCAAGTGCCTGTTTTCTGTGTGAACAGACAGTATAAAATGGCCACTTTCCATGTGTCTAGATACAGCTCATATATAAAGAGTTTATGTTGATGTATRGGATTTATCCTAGCAAACTGAAATAAGTACAGTCAAGAAAAGTATTCTGCATTTGTTCGTGGTTTGTAATGGAATTGATTTTGAGAAGATTTACATGCACTCGGGCCAGAGATGCAACTGTAAGTATTGGCCTATGTTAGCTGTCAAATCTGTAAAATTACTGTGCAAGGTTGAATGTGGTTTCAGTACTGGTTTGGCCTAACTCTATGCAGAGCTTGTCTATTTGATTTTGTACTACATAACTGCTATAAACTTGCAAATTACAAGTTGTTAGCAGTGAACTGGGATCTCACAGAAAAAAATAATGTAATGCAGTGTTTTCACTGARGTACCTTTATTTTTGATGCAAAAAACGTGTGACGGTCTGGAGAGGGTTAACAGGGGAGTCTTGGTCCAAAACGCGTAGGTGGCCAATGCTCCCTCTGCCTTACCCACTTTTGGTGAGACTTTCAAAGGACTTGTAGTAGCTTGCAAATATATAATGTAAATGTCAATGTCAAATGTGAAAATGTSAATAATGACCAATATAAATGTCAGAATCTATTTCCTGTGTGTTTCAGCCCAGCAAGATCTCCTATTCTGTTCTTGCTTTAAGATTTTACTTTCATTCTAAAGTGCCATTACTGATTTTATCATTTATTGCTGAACAGTATCATTACTGCAAGATTAGATGCAAGTGAATTCTTGGGAGGGGCTCATCACGGCCAGCTTGCTGAAGGGAGACTTTAGAAAGGCAAACAAAGCAGAAGGTGTGTAACACCACACAGGGATCCAGAAAGAGGAGAAAATACAGTGCAAAGTTTTGGCCCAAAGGGTCATGCAAGGAGACTTGTTAGGCTTAGGAGAACCCTCCTCCTTCTGCTTCGCTGTGAATTCATTTCTGTTTTGTGGCTGTAGAGGGATTTCTCATTACACTATAATAATAATGATGCCATTATAACAATTATATTAGAATAATAACTGAATTTAGAGGCAGAGAACAAAAGCAGGTAACCGTGTYCTTCGTTCACCTACGGCAAAGTTAATTTACAAACTAGTGCTGATAAGAAAGAGACGACAAAGGCCAGCAATGTAGAAACAACCTATCTGCAAGAGCAGAGCAATCTGAAATAAGTCTTTTCTGCGTGGGCTTAACTGGGACGGTGAAAGGGAGGTAACCTTAAGCCCAGGTGAACCCTGAGGTACTGAGGCTTATGAGGTCTCAAATGCTTCTGTGAAACTTGAGATACACAGCCCAAATGTGTGCTCTGGGAGATGAAAATGATTTTAAAAGTAGCACATAGAGACTTTTTAACTCTTTCTGAAGGACATAAAATTTGAGGCTGCCTTTCCTTTCCTGCTTTCCAAACAGAAATCTAATAAAGCTTTCATCAGGAGCAGATTCCCTTTGCTTTATACATCATTTCCTATGCAGGCTGCCATTCTCTCTAGATGTGCTGCGTTCTGTGATGCCTTAAAGGTAAGGCTGCAAGAGCTGATAGTACCACATGTGCAATGTTGTGCCTAGAAATTATGCCGACAGGAGTTCTGTAGATTGTTTTGTGTGTTTCTTCTTCCTTTTGGTCTGGGCAATGCAAGAAATGAGCACAGCAGAGTAAATGTGCTAAGTCCTCACTCTTAAGGCATGGGTGAGCTGAGCTGTGCAGCCCAATGGAGCAGGTCTGATCAGATGAGCTTGTCACAAAGGTCCTGTAAATCTGACTTACTGTGGATAAGGAGGAATAGCTATAAAAGCATATGTAGGTGTTTCCATTATTTGTAAACTGCGGTTGTTGCAGAGTCCCTTCTGTAGCCCACGCACAAACTCCTTGGTGTCGAGCTGTGCATTAGGAGAAGTGCAGAGTCTGTTCATCCTGGCCGAACGGCCATGCCAAGAGGGCCCTTGAAGACACCTCCAGTCAGGAGCTATACTCCATTTCCTCCATCTAGCCAAGGTCTTCTGCTCAAGCCCTCCAAAAGATACAAACATCTGGGCCAYCTCAGCAGAGATCTCTGAAACTAAAAAGACCAAGAGTGTGTTTGAAGTTAGATGCGTGTAAGCTGAGTGTGCCCTTGTTCATGAACTCAACCCCCCCAACTGTATTATTTCAGTAATACAGTCACACAAGAGATAACATTGTTTGAAAATAAGATCCAAAAAGGCTGTTGAGGTTTTTAGTTTGTGTGTGTGTGTGTATATATATATATATATAAAAGTGTCATTTTTTTTTCCTCTGGAGCTTTTTATGTTATTATAATGCCATCTCCAGCTACCAAAGTAGGAAGAGGTTATGTTGTTGTCTCCTATTTATTTTAAAATGCTGCTRTTTTTCATGACAACAACAACAAAGGCAGGCTCAACACTGGAAAAATAAAGGCAAGTTTAAATATATGTTCCAAGTGGTGTTGCAATTTTAAACAAAAGCCTTATAATTAGCTTTTGAATCTTTCTGTACTTGTCACTACATTTCACAAGGCAAAGAGCCTTGATGAAAGCTATACCTAAATGCAGTTTTAATGGGAGATTAAGAGAGAATTGGCCTTTTGTTGGCTTGGAGAATGCAGTGAAAGCTGCTTAAATTTGCATGTGTTTATTTTATCTTTTTTCACTAGATGGTGCTCTTGGAGGGCTTTGACTCGCCTTATTTGCTGGCACTTACCCAGCAAGAGCTGGAGTCTGAGCCAAGACTGTGAAAGGATCATCATTTTGAAGGGTATATGTACACTTGGCCCGTTTAAAACAGTGGAGAGGGAGAGCTTTTGCCATGACTCATAAAGAGAATGTGGTGCATCTGTGTAAAAATTGATTTTGAGACTACAATATTTAAACTATGGAAAAAAGTAATTCAGAGATGTATGTTCCCAGAGAGGCCATATTTTTCTTTTATTTTCATAAGCAAGGGTTTTATGGTGCCAGAACACAGCAGAATGCTGTTATCTCAGCATGATCTAAGAAAATCCAAGTGCCTGGTCCAAGGGGATTAAATATTCTGCTGARCGAAGGGATATTTAGTGAGCCTGAAAAAGCTATTTTCTTGTAGGCATCTCGTTTCAATATAGATTCCAACCAAAAACACTGTAAGGGCATGTTTTTATGATGAAACTTTGCAGCTTTTTGTTTTCAGAGTTCCCTTTCCACTTTGGGATCTTGCTTATGGAAGAGGCTAAATATTAAACATATAAAAAATAAAAGGACTGTCAATGAAAATAAAAAGCAGTATTTCTAGGCACTTAATATTAGCAATATTGGCATTGAAATGAAGAGAAGATGGCAGAATTTAGGCCTAAGAGAAAGCTACATTTTCTTTCCGGGGGTAACAGAAAGTTTTGGTCTTCAGAGACCAAAACGCTTCTGGTGTGATTTTTCTGATCATCCTCCATAGTTGAGAAGCTGAGATGGAGGCTTGTAAGACTTTCAGGGTRGACACCAGGGCTTGTTTTCA